TAGTGCTCGTCATAGTGAATCGGCAGCAGCACGAAATTGTATGTAGACCAATTAACGAAGCCTGTCACTTCTCCTACCACATCACGTCCATCTTTGTAGCGATTGTAAGCGCAGGAAATTTAGGTGTAGTATTCCAGACCGAATGGGTACAGAAGGCCTTCAATTCTGACCGTGTGCTTGTCTCACAATACAGCTAGTTTCAAATTCTCCAGGTTTCAAATTGTCAAAATCTTTTTGGTGAAGCGGAAGCCGAAGAAGTCTTTCTTTCTGGTTTTTGTCTGAGAGATTGAACAGAAAAACCAAAATTGGATCATCTTTGTTACGCTATTTCCGAAGCGTTCTTCTGTCCCTCCCCGTTCTAGCGCTTTTATTAAGAGAACCGCAAGATTGTTTTTTGGATGTAGAATTCGTCATAAGATTTTGTTGGTCAAGCAGACGATTCAACGTCGCCGCCACCTTGACGTGAAGAGTCATCACCATTGGTAGCGACACTGTTTAAACTATCATGCACTATAATTACGACATTCGGCTGAGCACTTTCATTCACACTGGCTTGTGGTATATGATTTTCTGGATCTTTATAACAGAATTCATCCCCAGACTCATATTCATCAGGTTCTGTATTTTTATCAGCTCCAGACTCAGATTCTTCAGCCCCCCCCCCACTAGATCCAGCGATATGCCGGGCCAGTGAAGTTGCATACTTCACAATGAAGCGCGATATCCACCTCTCTTGTGTACTTTCCTTTTCCTTCGCAAACACTGGAATTTTATTTCGAGCATAGCGCAATAGCTCACCACGCGTGCATGTATTACCATCGGAGCGGCACGAATCGTAATATTTCAAAATCCTAAGCTCGTACGGTTTCAGTCCTGCCTTCCGCCCCCTCCCTAAGCACGGAAGTGCTTTCCGGAGTTTTGTAGTACAGAAGGGCCATCAAGCGAGTTCCAAAATGACTTCTTCCACCCGAGCAATGTCGCCTTAGCTACCAAGGTTCTTCGCGGCTTCACCCGGGCTCCATTCAGGGTGGCCCCTCCAAATCTTCAGCTTAGCGATCTTGACCTCTATGGGGACTTGAGCGCAGTGTCGCTTCGTTTCAGACATGGCTTTAAGAAAACGAGAGAAGAGAAGAGGAAACTAGGGGGTCACCGAAGGATTTATGAATGGAAGCAGCAATGCTCAGAGATTTTTGCAACTTTTTCTCGATATTTAGCATTTAACGAGGTCCAGTTACTCCACGTTCGGTCGAGATATTTTGTAAGGCGGCTGAGTTATTTTGCAATATGACCGATTTATTATGTGAGGCGGTCGAGATATTCTGTAAGACGATCGAGATATTCTGTAAGACGGTCGTGTGACTCTGAAAGACGGTTATGTTCATGTGAAAGAAAGTTGCGCGATTCTGCTACATCTGTCCAGTTAGATAATATTTACAATGATTAAGATATTCATCATTGCCGTCGAATTACAAAGCGGTGCTAGCATTTATTTAGGAACGGGACTTATTTTGCAATGCAGTCGAGTTGTTCGAGGTAGTGGTCGACTTGTTTTGCTAAGCGGTCGAGTTATTCTGTGCGATAATGTCTTGAACAAGGGCTCGGACTCGCTTGCAAAACTGATTGAGTGATTGTGCTGCCTCTCTGCGCCTTTCCTCTTGCTCAGATGCAGCTCCCGTTTTCGATGTCTGGCGTTTTGATGCGTGCGTCTTAATTGCTTCTTAGAAAACTTTACGTCGAGAGAAGAAACGATTCTCTGTGAGTTCTTTCCGCCACTTGCTTCCGAATCGCTGCACGGCTTCATGAACGGATATCTGCCCCCGATTCCGCGAGAGTACTCGAACCAAATTTCATCTACCGTTTGCAGAGAGTGACTTATAATCATTGTACCCACCGACGGATTTTGAAATTGATTTTGCCGGGGCTGTACAGCGTCAGGTCCTAGGTCGGCACCACGCTCTAGGCTTTCGCCACAGTCGTCTGTTAACGAGATCACGAGCTTTTTTCTTACAGCTAGGACGCCTTGCGCTTAAAGCTAGTGTACCTTACTAGCGAGGCTGTCGGGAGTTTCGAAACCTGCTTCTAGATATACTGGGCAACTCTTTCCATGTAGTGTAGCATGTAAACGCCACGATTCAGATTGTTTAATTGAAGCGGTGTGGTTGCGTAAGCGAAAGCGTGAGGCTCAGTCGATTTAACTCCATTGTGAAGTCTACGCAACTCCACCCCTAAAAATCTTTTTATCACATCAAAAATGGGCGCCGGGCCATGCAAACTCGGAAAGGAGTTGACGTGGTAGCAGATCGTGCCAGCAATTTAATGTGGTTTACGATCACGATGAAGCTGTAGTGCTCGTCATAGTGAATCGGCAGCAGCACGAAATTGTATGTAGACCAATTAACGAAGCCAGTCACTTCTCCTGCCACGTCACGTCCACCTTTGTAGCGATTGTAAGCGCAGGAAATTTCGGTGTAGTATTCCAGACCGAATGGGTACAGAAGGCCTTCAATTCTGACCGTGTGCTTGTATACCATACCACTCACAATACGGGTGGCTACTCGGGTCGTGTTGAAGCGTGTCGAGCCATAACATTGACCACAGCTCGTTGGAGCTTCTGCGCATTTGAAGCGGTCACAATATGCCCATCAGCCATATTCATTATACCCTCGGAACTGGCGCAACGATTCGCGTATAATGTGCGCCTATGGGGGTGAGGGCAATAGCTGGTTAGTTTGACCAACTGAAAGGGCGAAAAAGTGGTTTTGCATGAAGGTCTCAACGAGTGGCTCTGATTTTTATTCCTTTTAGTAGTTTCAATGCATTATTTCAGGACTGACCTGGCAGTCAAATACTGTATTTGCGAAATACCTTGAAATACGTATGGTTTTTTCAGAGGGATCGCGTTCCATTAATGGTAACTCCAAAATCGGTGAAGTTAATATTGTGAAAATATCACCTGTAGACCATTTAATACAAAAAATATCACCTAATATTTTCTTCTGAGACAATATGATATTATTAAATATCAACTTAATATTAGTTAATATTATATTTTTCAAAGATTGCGCAATCAGTTCAAATTAATCAATCAGATGCGGTTAACGCTCGACTAGCTGAAGTATTACTAATCAACCGTGAGGGAGGGACAATTGTGAGAGGTTGGCGTCGTGTGTTGGCACTGCTGAGCGCATTAATCTAGCGTCATAGACAGCAGGTTTATTAGACGCACGATGTGGACAAGGAGATCGGTAGAGAACAAGAACAAATGTCTTGATTTCGCTCTATCAGCGTTAAACAGCTGCAAGCGTTTGCAGTTTTCCATTCACGGTGAAATACTAGAGCAAAAACAGTCTTAAAGCCTACTGCTTTTCTAGAACCTGATCGAAAAAGTTATATGGCTCTGCTCAGAGGGTAAGGTGGCAAGAAACGTACTTAAGTGATAAAATATCATAAAATATCATGAAGTATCTAATATTTTTCAGTTCTTCGAGTGAATATTAAAATATTATGTTAGCTTTTGCAAAAATGAGCCTCTATTAATATTCAAGATCGAAAATAGTACTATTACATATAAAAATATCAAATGATATTTGGGAAAACATGATGACGAATCACTAAACAGAGATACTGCTTAGTGATTCGTCATCATTTTTTCGGCTAATGAGTAAATAGATTTTGCATTTTTTAGGACCTCTTTTCCTTTGGTCACAAATGTCTGTTTCCGTCGTATCGCTTTAATTATTAGGCAATTAGATCTTGAAATCCGTTTCGCAGTTTAGAGCATAAGGATGGTGGACATCGTCAAGCGCAGTGTCACTTTAGTGTCATCAAGCCAGCGCATTGCATTTCAGAGTATCCAGAATCTGAAAATATTCACCGTCGATATCCTTCAAAGAAGAACTCATTCAAGGAGGGATAAAGGAAGAGCGAAGCGGACGCCATGTAAAGGCTGAGCTCGTGGGACAGTACCGGTATAGGTATTGCACCCCAACCCGTTTATCTGCACGTGTAGATGACGATTAACAGTGCTGTACGTACATGTTTTGAATCAAAACACGATTATGGGACACAACCACAGTACTGTACATGGGGAAATGCAAGTCAAATCAAAGACGGGATACTTTCCTTCTTTTGCGCAGAACGATCGCAGAGAGAAAGATTCATTCTTGGATGTGTACGCAGTACGGTACCGTGGTACCACCAGTGCTCGCCGGCGGCGCAAGGCTTGCAGCAACTTGCCGCAAGCTTTGCGTCCTCCTATTTTAATTCCATACTTCTTGTGCTGCATTCATGCCAAATCATATTCCTCTCGATTTCTAGAAATTCATGAGCAGTAGGTTACTAACAACGTCTAAAGCGAAAGTCTAACTGCGATCTTTCGGTGTGAAGCCTAGCGTTCCTTTCTGTTCAATTACATGTACGTCATGCTTGCCAAACATTGTTCCAAACAGCGAAATCAAGTTTTGCTCCGCTTCTGTTGACCTTTTCAATAGTTAGTAACACAGATGAACAGATCCCATGAAATTAATTGCACCCTCTGCCTGCGAAAACATATACTGGTACCCAGTACAGTGCCCCCCCTCGTTATAAAGCCGTCACGGAACCTTGATCAATTTTAGAGAGGCTGTACGATTGACCGAAGAAATTAGCATCACATATTGACGAAAGATTATCAGCTTCAAAAGGGTATTAGGAGATTATGAGTGCTAGAAAAAAAGGGGAGCACTATACATGTACTGTAAGTTTTTTCCAGCACTCATTACTCATTATAAGGTCAGTGACATAGAGATTCTCTATGTCATTGACCTTAACAACTAGCCAAAAGGGTTGTGAAGTCGTGTGCGCAACGTTGCAAGCAGAAGAATTAAAGATGGGATCATTCGCACTAGCCTAATACATGTATAATAGTGACAACTTGTCAGACAAGGTCCTTGGTATAGGGCGAGGCACGGTCGTGCTCAGCAGCATTGCTTGAGCCGATGAAAGAGCTCATTCAGCAATTTGCCGAGCCGATCACACTCGACTCACCTCAACTGCCCCATTGGAAGACGCCTCTACTTCTACCGACCACCGTATCACCCAAGAACCATGAAGCTTTCGTACATCATCGCTTTCGCCGCCGTGGCCGTCGCCTCGACCGCTATCCCCACCAATGCCGCTACGGGCTTGACAACCAGCAACGTCGCTGAGCATCTGCAGGTCGTCCGCCAACTTGGCGCGGGCGGTGGCCTTCGCGGCTCGAGCCAGCAGGGTGACCAATCCCAGAACACGCCCAGCACTTCCCAGAACGATGGCAACACCAGCCAAAACGATGGCAAGCAGGAAAAACAGGACGATGGCAAGCAAAAGAGCAACGGCGATGACAAGAAGAAGGATGACGACAAGAAGAAGGAGGACAAGGAGAAGAAGGAGAAGGAGAAACAAGAGAAGAAGGAGAAGAAGGAGAAGGAAAAGAAGGAGAAGGAGGAGAAGAAGAAGCAAAAGCAGGAGGAAAAGTCCAAGAAGGACGGTGACAAGTCCAAGAAGGACGGTGACAAGTCTAAGCAGGATGACGGTGACAAGACGAAGCAGAATGACGGTGACAAGTCCAAGAAGGACGGTGACAAGTCCAAGAAGGACGATGGTGGCAAGTCCAAGAAGGACGATGGTGACAAGTCCAAGAAGGACGATGACAAGTCCAAGAAGGACGATGACAAGTCTAAGAAGGACGATGGTGACAAGTCTAAGAAGGACGATGGCGACAAGTCCAAGAAGGACGATGGTGACAAGTCCAAGAAGCAAAATGACGGTGACAAGTCCAAGAAGGACGGTGATGACAAGTCGAAGCAGAATGGCGGTGACAAGTCCAAGAAGGACGATGGTGACAAGTCCCAAAAGCAGGGCGAGCAAAAGCAGGGCGAGCAGAACCAATCTCAGAACCAAGGCGAGCAGAACCAATCTCAGAACCAGAAGCAGGGAGTGTAAAGCACTGCAGGGGGCAAATTGAGATTGCTGGCGCTAACCTGAACTCTAAGGTACACATACATTAGCTACCCAAGCGACAATACAAATTTACAGTCAATCAATTTCCAGTCGTACTTCTATCCTGAGCGCAGTAACTATGCTCCTATGAACGAAGAGCATTTTAGTATTTTAGCATTACATGTAAATAAATGCCAGTCTTGTGAAAAGCAGCAGGCTAACTTCAGATTTATGTGAACGCTTTTCTTTTTTTGCTATTTACAGCGCTATAGTAACGATACTAGTAACTTAATTGACGATCTTGCATCTTATTTCGTCCTTGTTTTAAGGACAAATTATGTTGGGGTTTGGGCATCTCCGCTAGCTTTTTTTTGTAAATCGGCAAGCTTTTAGATTTTGGCACGTGCTGGAGAGCCCAACTGGGAAATTATGAGACGGGACATTTGCCCCAACTCGCCCCAACTGTGGAGACCAAACGAGCCCAACCTGAGCCCAATCCAGCCCAAGTGGAAGCCTTCTAAATCAAGCCAGCTCCTCGTGTATACGTATAGCCGAATAGAGCGATGTGTTTGAGCTGGATCTCTTAGCGTCCACGTGGTCTCGGCGCCGCGACTGCATTTCAGCGCTCTCATGAAATTCAAGCTTGATAGAAATCAGTCGTATCAACTTTAAGATAACATGTGAGAAGGCCAAAATATATTGAGAGTTAGCGATAGTCATTCGTCTGCGCTGCCTCTACAGACACGTACAAAGATAGCGGTAACGCAGGCACTGCAGCATCTTTTTGTCCATGTGACCTAGTGGTTCTGCGCCACAAAACATTTCAAAAGCAAGCAAGACGTAGATTCCGCAGTTGTAGCTGTCAGTCTGAACTCCGAGTCCTGCGTCGAAGACTCTCACCTGAAACGCTTTCTGTGCACCTGGAGGCAGTAGCACTACCATCCTGCGCTTCGGCACGTACGTTGACGACGTACGAAGAAGAACTCGAATCGTACACGTAAATGACTCCACCCTCGAGGTCCATCATAATAGCACACCAGTGGTCACCGTTGCGATTCACTGGAATCAACACCTTCTCCGTCGTCAACCCAGATAACGCCTCTCGAATGATTTCGCTGGAGGTGTTCACGCTTCCGTCCACAACGATTCCCAGTGTCGAAGAGTCGAAAACGGCAATTTTGGGCTTACAACCAAACAGTTTGGCCAGTATTTTGTACATTACCTCATCCGTTATCATCTCTTTACCTGCCAATGCTAGCGCATCCATCTACACAGACGTAGTTAGTTTACCATCATACTCTCAATTACACACTGGTTCATACCTGTGGGGTCAAAACTTCAATCTGTCTCAGCTTTGACGGCAGGGCGGGGTCTTCCTCGATTGAATAGCTGGCATTACCGCAATTAGACAGATCCAGGTTCTCTAACCATGCCAGCGCGCGGGCGATCCTTCTGAATGCTGCTGCTGCAACGTGCCACTTTTTCATGAGCTTGATCGCTGAGTTGGCGAATACTCCAACTCCTACTATTTCTAAAGCAATGTCCAGCTCGCGAATGCCACGATTCTTTCGCTGAAACGCTGACACTTCAGCCCCGCAGTTCATTATTAGATCCATCAGAAAGATTCAAACTATTTCATCAGGCCGCATCAACGGCTTCGTAGCTGGAACCTTCCTCAAGTCGTGCGCGATTGGCGGTTTCGGTTTCGTCGCGAAGACGAAGAGCTTAAACAGGAGTATGTTCTCTTGGGCCGAGTCAAAAGTTACATTGTCAAAGAGAAGCTCGAATGCCGAAATTAGGTTGAGTTGCTTATCGTGCGTCTCGAGATCCTCTTGAACCGTCGCAATATGTAGTTTCCGTTTAGCTTTTACAGCCTTAGATTTCTGTTTTGGGCGCCCTTTTGCTTTTGGTGGACTTTGAAGCTCGAATTCGGCTTCGCCTTCATCGAGGTTGACGCTGTTAGCCACCTCGACCACCTCTGCACCTGATGGAGCCGACTGAGTCGACTCAGTGCCCAACTGGACCGACTGATCCAACTCCGTGCCCGACTGAACCAACTCCGTGCCCTACTGAACCAGCTGCATGCCCGACTGAACCAACTGAGTCACCTCCGTGCCCGATTGAACCAACTCCGTGTCCGGCTGGGTCACCTCGCTGCTAGAGCGAGACGCAGGATCCACATGATTTTCCTCATCATTATCCAGCTCAGCTTGGACTGAACTAAACATGGATGTAGGCCAATATGCTCTTCTTTTTGGCCCCCGCCTTTCGGAGTTCGTCCACCGTAGAAATCACCTCAGGTTCGTACGCAGTTCTAGTTTGTGGATACTGGCTGTGAGTGTGCTTCGTTAACGGGTGGTTGTGCTCTAGCCGCACAGACGTTAGTTTCAAAGCAAATTTCGGCCCAGAAGGATCAACCACTTGCACACAGGCATTGATCTGCAACCACAGGAAACTCTGTTAGCCCAACTCAACCCAACCAACCCAAATCGTACCCAACTGTGACCAACTACACCAACTCGAACCCACCTGTGCGCCACACTGCATAGCTCTCGAATGCTGGCGCTTCCTCTTGCCTTTGCCTTTTGGTTTGTATTCCCCCCCCGTGCGTACAAATGTACGTCCTTGCGTAGTAAATCCATTCGTCGGGAACCAGTGGTGCTTTGGAGCCAGACTCCTGAATTTTTTTGTTCCTCTCAGTAACCTTGTTATCTGTCCGGACGCGAAAGCTCTACATATGACCAACATCAATGCATATATCCAAGTTGGTAACCACGCCGTCTCCACAGTTCTTTATAACAAGTTATAGCATCTTACCTGGAATGTTTCGGCCCCGTATGATTTAAGAAACTCCTCCAAGTCGCCCCATGACTCAAACGCATATCTGCGTGGAGGGGCCGCTTGAATCCCATCCGATTCCTCACTTGAGTCAATTGCTGCGGTCTGAGGTGACACCGACGTTCCATAACGAACTTGTTTCGACCGGCTTCCGCAGCTTACAGCACTGGAGGCAACTGATGATGTTCCCACCCACTCCTCGTCGCTGTTGTTAAGTGAACACGCATCCAAATTCTCGCTGACTTCGTCGCTGGATGACACGGGGGGTCGCAAGACCTCCTTGACGCGCAAGTTCTTGGCAGGCTGGTTCCCGACTGCTTTGGCCCGTAAGTCGCGCGATGCAGGGCGTGTTACCGTCGTGACGCGTTGATCGCATGCTGCCGCTACGCCGCAGTCGCGGTCGCTCTCCATGGCTCGTATTCCTGCTCGACTCCCCACCGATGAATTAATGGTGAGGAGGGGGGATCGTAGTATACACTATACGCCGGACGGATGAACTAGTGGGGTAGGGTAATGATCTGATCGACGATTTGACGACCTCAGTTGGGTTCTCCAGCCACTCTCTTAGATTTTTCAGCAAAGGAAGCAACCAGTTATCTGCCACCCTGACAAAAGTCGGCACTCGGATTTTTGTTTCTCCGTAGCCAGGACTCGTGTCATTCGAAAGCTGAGGATTTAGGCTATCTCGTCGAGGTTTTACACCTAAAGCGAAGCGACTCGAAACTCTTATTTGCGTGAGGCGACTGGGTATTTCAAAAGGACAAAAATTGAGCGTCTCTTAAAAAATGTACTGCTCGTACTTAGTCGAGTTTTGGCGCCTTCGAGTCAAATTCCATTTCAATGTCGCAGGTGGACGACGACCCGCAGGAGGGCGACACGCTGCGTGTGTTGCTGTCCACAGACAATCACTTAGGCTACGCAGAGAAGGACCCAGTGCGCGGCAACGACTCGTTCCGCTCGTTCCGTGAGATTCTTCAGCTAGCGCAGCGCCAGAAGGTGGATCTGCTGCTACTTGGTGGTGATCTGTTCCACGAGAACAAGCCGAGCCGCCGCACACTGTACGAGACTATGCGTCTACTACGCACTCATTGTATGGGCGATGGAGCTGTTAACTTCCAAGTAGTAAGCGACCAGAGCGTAAACTTTCCCAACTTTGGAGTAGTGAACTTTGAGGACCCCAACTACAACGTGGAGCTGCCTATCTTCAGTATCCACGGGAACCACGACGACCCAGCACGAGAAGGAGGCGGAGACGCCACGCAGTCGCTAGCAGCGCTGGACCTAATGAGCGCTGCCAATTTGGTTAATTACTTTGGTAAAAGTGAGAAAGTGGATGCAGTCGAAGTGTTCCCAGTGCTGCTGACCAAAGGGAATACGAGAGTAGCCATCTATGGCTTAGGAAATATGAGAGATGAGAGGTTGAACAGGATGTTCGCACAGGGGAAAGTGGCGTTCAGAAGACCAGCAGAACATGCGGAAGAGTGGTTCAGTATCTTCGTGGTGCACCAGAATCGAGACGATAAAGGACGAGGGAACAAGAACTGCGTCCCGGAGAGTGTGATCCCTGACTTTATCGACCTTGTCGTATGGGGACACGAGCATGAGTGTCAGATTGACGTCCAAGAGAGTTTAAAGGGGAATTTCTTCATCACACAGCCTGGTTCGTCGGTAGCGACGTCGCTAGTGGAAGGGGAAGCCAAGCCGAAACAAGTTGCTGTAGCGGAAATTAACGGTCAGAGCTTCCGGATGACGAATTATGACCTACATACCGTGCGTCCTTTTAAGATGGGGGAGGTGATTCTGAGTGAAATTGAGGAGTTGGAACCGAACGACCCAGACGTGACAGAACGTATTGGCGAGTACTTGGAAGGCAGAGTGATCGAGTTGCTACATGAAGCTGAGTTAGAACAACAGGAGAGATTGAGAGAACGAGCGTTAGAACGTGAGCAAAGACAACAAGAGAGTCCGTTCCCACTGCCAGAGGTCGGAAACGGAGCTGAAGAGAAGGAATTAGTGTTGATCCGATTGCGTGTGGAACACACTGGCTTCCCTGTGCTGGTGAATCAACGTTTCGGTGCGAAATTTGTCGGAAAAGTGGCCAATCCGAATGATATTTTACTGTTCTACCGACGGAAGAAAGATCGTATCAATACTTCAGACAAGAAGGCAAGTAGGGAGCTGGAGGAGTCACTTCTAGGACGTCCTGTGCGGCCGACGCCACTTGCTTCGGTGACGATTGAAGATATCCTAAGTAAGCAACTGAGGGTACCCGAACGGAAGCTGACGCTGCTCCCCGAGGCACAACTTGGAATTGCTTTGGAGAAATTCACGCTTAAGAACAACTCGTCGGCTATTCAGGAGTTTGTGGACAGTATACTCGACGAGACTCAACGTGAATTAACCTCCAAGAGCGACGCCAAGTCGACGCAGGACATTCTCAGTGTCGTTGGGAAGAAAAAAGAGCAAAGTAATGCGCTACACTTACTGCAAAAAGAGGAAGAAGCCGAATCTGGTAAAACGGAGCTTGAATCGGCCTCGGTTGTCGGTGGGTTCCAGTCGCGACGGACAACTCAAAGCACTGACAAGTCTCCCAATCGTTTCGGGACGCCTCGATCTTCACAGACGAAGAAAGCAGCTCCAAAGAAGAAGAAGCCAGTAAGAAAATCCGTTTTCTCCGTTCTTGAAGAAGATAGTGATAAAAGTCCACGTAAGAAGAAGCCACCTACGCCCAGAAAAGCTCCAGCTCGGTCGGCAAAAAGCAGGACGAGAAAGACCTCATTGTCTAATGATGATGAAGACTTTGGTGCTGAAGATGACGGCGACGATGATTTCAAGATGGAAGACGACGGAGACGAAGAGGAGGAAATGACTCCACGTCCATCTGCGAAGCCAAAAGGAAGAGCGTCGACGCGAGCAGCGAAAGTGAAGAAGTCCCCGCCAAAGCGAAAACGCTTACGCAAGAGCAACGACTCTGATGATGAAGATGACGATGACTTTGCACCTTCAACTCCCAAGCGTGCTGCTGTTTCAACGAAGCGTTCGACTCGCGACTCACAAGCAAGTGACGTGCTGGATTTGTGCTCGGACTCGGACGACAAGCCAGCACCTAAGAAACGAGCCAAACCGACCACATCCAAGATATCCCAGCAACACAAGATCGACAATCTGTTCAAGAAACAAGCAAAGAAAAACGACGATAGCGATGACGTCGAAGAAGATCAACAGTTCACGCAACTTGCAGATGCTCGTGGCCAAGATATCGTTGGGCCGTCGCAATCCGAGTCGCAGATGTCCCAAGCTCGCGTAGGAGTTTCCACTCGACGCAAACTGCCATTGTCGATGGTGGCAGCTTCCCAGTCTCAGTCTCAAGAACCGAAACGTGGAGCTGCCGCATCGACTGCTCGTAAAGGGTGGGGTCGTTCTCGTCGCTAACAGAAGAAGCGAGATATAGTTATGAGACTCAAAAGGTAAAGAACTGGCCATTTATTTCACCCCGGTTGACGTAGTAACGTTGTCCATCATGCTTGGTGTCTTCGACTGAACCTGCTTAGTTGGTCTACGATGCCAATCGCGATCAAAACGCACCTATTCCGTGCTCTCCAGTAGTTCCTTGGGTGGAGTCTTGGGCAAACTCGAGTTCAGCTCCTCGTCCTTAGCAGGGTCCTGTCGCACCCACGTCTTGTTCTGGAAACGCGGGCGCATCTGCGATGAGTAGTACGGGTTGCGTGGGGCAAAGGCTGGAGCGCTAGCATTCACACCGGCGTTTTGTGGAGCGCTGCTCGTCTCACTTGCTGCTGCTTCGGATTCAGGCTTGTCTTCATTGGCTTTGGCTTCCTCAGCCTTGGCGACGTTGGGATTGACCCACTTGCGGTTCTGGAATGGTCGTGCGCCACGAGGACCGTTCTGCATCGGGCGAGGGTAGCCACGGCCACCATACGGCGGCATGCCTTGAGGCGGGAATCCCATCCCGTACGGGTTGAATCCTGGTGGAGGGTAGAACATCGGACCTCCAAACGGCTGGAAGTACGACCACAAGAGCATTAGAAATTATACTACTAAACACACCATAAACAACAGCAGCAACGTCACATACCGGGTAGCCGCCGTAGCCCATGGGACCACCTTGAAAGCCCATCGGCGGGCCCATACCTTGGCCATATCCCTGCTTGCCTTTGAAGTCATCTTTCTCATCCGACGGAGGCAAAGGTGGCGCCACGTCACGATTATTTCTCCGCTTGTCGTTACGACCTGCATCGTCCATGTCATGGTCCCGGTCGTTTCTCCAGTTACGTCCTCCCCTGTGGTAATTCTCCTCCTGATCTCCACGTCGCTTCTTGTGTAAGCCCATAGTGTCACGAGCATCCAGTTCAGCCTGGTCAACGTTGACCGGCGGTCCTAGTCGTTTCGACAGCCGACCTCCGCCTTCATCCCGCTCGTTTGCTCTTCTCTTGTTCCCCGTCGTTCTCGTTTCTTCACGTTGGTGACGATCTTCTTTTCCTGACGACGACGGGGACTTCTTGACTGCTGGATTCTTCTCCACAACGCCAAAGCGTTGAGCTCGTCGAGCGATCACGTCGTCCAGGTCGGTCTTGGATGGGTTCAAAGAGCGGATCGTACCTCGGTTGCTACCGAGCGACACGACCTTCTTGGGCGGATCGGATGACGATAACACCTTTAAACTGATAACACGTTTGGGTGGTGCACTGTCGTTCTTCTCGTCCTTCTGCTCTGGCACCGGGGCTACTTCCGCTGATGGCTGCGATATCTCGTTAGCTGGAGTCTCATGAGCAGCTTGAGCCTCGAACGTGGGCAGCAATTGACTGAGCCAAGTCACAAACTGCTCGGCGGACTCGTCACCGATAAAGTCCACGAGGTCGTGGGCGATCTGCTCCATGTTCTTCTTGTTGCCCACCATGACGATCACGTATTCCTGTAGTCGCCGCCGTCATAATCGTACACAATACACAAGGGACGTCATGCCTCGGGTCTCTTTCTTGTCTGGGGTGGCGCTCCCTCATATTCCTACTTGGGGGTCCGTTTTACACCCTCTTTTAGCGTCTTTTCACGTGCATACAAAGCTCCATATACAGAGACGGATGAAGGCTCCACTCCCAGCCACTCGATCCGTCCGTCCTCTGGCCTAGCGTCGCCTCCTCCTGTTGCCTCGCCGATTTGGACTCTTAAAACGCAGTGGAGATCGCTCTCTAGAGGCTGGAAAAGAAGGCGCAAAAAGGAACGCCACCCCCTCGCTAATTATTAGTCTACACGTAGTTCAGTACGCACCGCCATAACGTTGTCCACCTCGACGCCCAGCATCTCTGTTAGCTTCTCACGCGTCTTGCTCGAGATCTCCTCCTTCCACGCGTCCGTCAAGGCCAGCGGGAACACGTAACTCTTGGGGTACGATGCCATCTTTGCTTGATCACCCTGGACTCTACCACTGAGTTGGGCTACAAAGATTAGGGAAGTACCGTGAGATACGTTATATACTTACAGTAACAGACATAATAATATTTTTTTAAAAAAACTCGATAAGAAGCAGCGAGAGAATGACATGGATTCAAAACGACTTGGCGCCGACCAATACTGTTTCTGCTGCAGCTTGCCACTGGCAATGCCAGGAGCCTTGAATGGTGTGGATTCAAGACGTGCCACGCTGCCGATCGCCCACGAATGAATAATACGTGTAACGCCGCCATATTGGTCTGTGCGCGAGCTGCAATTCTGGCAAAACAGCCGACGTTGATGGCCAGCCTCGAGGGGAAAGCAACGCCACCATGCGCTGCGTCGTTGTGGTCGGCTATTAGGTTCACTGTTAGTATATGTTTGGCTAAGCTAATGAATGGGCGAAAATGGACGTTTGAGTTTGCTGGGAACTTACCAGTGATAAGACCAAGTACTCTACATCCTACTTTTAAATTTCACCGATGTTGAAGTGAAAGTGGTTCACTTTCGAGTAAACCACTTTACCCAGGCCATGCCTTGTCCACCGTGGACTCCACGCGCTGCAGCTTCTGCACTCAACGTTATTTTATTAGCTGTAAATGAACCTTGCTTTTACAAATAGAGACGCCGCCTAATTTAGGCGGCGTGTCCAGTAGCCTTCTCTCAACTTCACGGGGGGGGGGGGGTCTAGCGAGTACTAGTACATCGTTTCGTAAGATTATTAATAAAAAAATCAAATACCACGCTAGTACGCTTTCGCAGATATCAAAATTTTCATGTATACCCACACGGAGACTCCGGATTCTGGATGTCAAGGCAGCGATAACTGTCGATAAATGCTGAATTTGAACAGCTCTATACGGCAAAAACCGCGTGGTTTTCGTGAAATAATCGAGAAACGATGTCGTCGTTCAGGCGAATGGAACACCGCGCATTACGACCATTATTAATAGCTCGTGGTGTCTCACTCTTTCAGTGCTCGCTGCAGTGCCATCAACTGCGGAAGCAATCGCGATGCCATTCCGCATGTGGAAGCGTTGGAGAGTCAGATGTGTTTGGGTTTTATCATCGGATCGGTACTGCCCATGCTCTGCTCACTCGGACAAGGAGCTCTCGATTCTCGGTCTCTTACTTTTCCCACCCTGGCCCTGCCCTGCTCTTCGTGACGGAGACCGTCTCTGCTGTCGAGCTCGACTCGAGCCGCGCTCGCTCTCATTGCGATTTTGGCCTTGCAAGCTGACGCCTCCTCACTGCCTGTCATGTCCTCGACGTCCGCGTCTCCGGACATCTGCGGCATCGACGTGCAGGCGTTGTATCTGAATGATCCGGGCAATAAGAAGGAGCCGGTCGGGTACGTCTTGTGCTCGGAAATGGGCAATACATGCATGAAAAACGGCTGCAGCTGTCGGAGCGCCGCGAACGCCGAAGTAAACGGCACCACCCAGTACTTTGGTGTCTGCATAGTACTCCAGAAAGGGAAGGACTGCGCCACGAGCGGTGACGACTATCTCACTTGCGCAGTAAGTTCGGATACTGCAGGCTCCACCGTCACGGAATCGCAGAACGAGTCGAGTGTTGCGAGAAGCAGCACGACGAAGGCGACAACCGAAAGCAACTCGACGCCATCTGCCGGCACGAACTCCAGCTCCGGTCTTCCCGACAATACAGTGACAGTAAAGAGCACCGCAGCGTCCTCTGACTCGATGAGCACAACGGTAATGGTGGTGATTATTGTCGTTGCGGTCGTGTTCGTGGCACTAGTTTCGTGGGTTGTGAGGTCCTACTGCATGCGTCGTTCCGCAGCGGAGGGGAAACTCGCGTCTAGACGGAACCGCAGCCACCACAGCACCAACTTTGAGGCGACATCGCCGACGAACATAACGGGCAGGTCGTCGGGTACGCCGTCGTTCCCGGCGTTCGACCGACGCACGCGCGCGATGCAATCACCAACTACGAATTCTGGTAGGAGCGCAGGAGGACGAAGTGGGCGAAACACTCCGCGTTCGCGCGAAACGAACTCCAGTCGTGGTCGGAGAAACCAGGATATCGACGCACAGTTTGCTCCTGGTGGTCCTCGTGATGTCACGCGCGAGCCTGCGTCTGGTCGTGGACGGCGAAAACAGGAATTGGATGCGCCGTTACCACCGCTCGGGGGCCCGAGACGCGAACCGACGTCCGGTCGCGGTCGTCGAAACCCGGACAATGACGCGCCATTCCCACCACTAGGGGGTCCTCGCCGAGAGCCAACGTCCGGGCGTGGACGACGAAACCCAGACGATGACGCGCCGTTTCCCCCTCTAGGCGGCCCCCGTCGTGAGCCGACTTCAGGTCGCGGTAGGAACAACACTGACATTGACGCGCAGTTTGCTTCTAACGGGCCTCGTGGGCTTAGAGAACCAGGACGTGAACCTACTTCAGGTCGTGGTCGTAGAGACAACGCAGAAGCAGCCATGCGAACGCCGCCACGTGAACAGCAAAGAGCAAAGCAGCATGCGTCTCCGAAGCAAGCAGCCAGGCCAGCTTCGAACAAAAGACCGGAACCTGCGGGTGGTACTGTGTATACGGGTCGCAACACGTACGATCGGGTTGCCCAGTTTGCGCAGTTAGCAGCATTTGAGGCTCCTCCTCCGCCGCCTCCTAGACCACAGAAGCCGATTAAGTCAGTGCACGTGTCGGACCCTGTTCCCAAGAATGCCAGAGCTCCACCGCCAGCCCGTCCCGTAGCACCAGCTCGTCCGGTACCGAAGCGTCCGGCCTTCCACATCCCTGACGATCCGTTACCTACAGACTATGACATTCTATCCCCCAAGACGGCCAGGTCACTAGCTCCGTCCGTCGCGTCATCGGCAACTACCGTCGTTGCACCAGGACGCAATCGACCAACCCCTCTTCAACAGAACCGACGACCGCAGTATCCGAACGCAGCACCGTCGTATTATCAGTCGGGCTACGACAACAAATACGCCGAAAGCACGGGCTTTGACGACAGCAGGTTCGACGAGAGCAAGTACGATGAAAGCAATTACGGCGACAGTCGGTACGATGAAAGTAGCTATGAGAGCAACAAGTTCAAGTCTACCAACAACTACGACGACTCATTCGTGAGCGAAGTGAGCTCGATGGCGTGGTCGGGGGCGTCGGGTCTAAGCGACGACAGCTACTACCATGCAGCGCCGAGCAACACGGCTCGAATTCCTGTCATTGAGGCGCCGCGCGACGATGATGACGACCATAGTGAAGACGGCTATTCCGACTGGGGGCACTCGACGCAGCATTCCGCCGATGAGTACCGAAGCACAGCAGCATCGGACGCGTCCTTCTTCTCCGTGAACTCGGACTTTGCCGACACGAAAAAAAACTTTAAGGAGCGCGAGTTCTAGACTCTTCAACGTCGCCTGTCCGAACGAGGGGCAGGAAGCAGACAAGCAAAAAGTAGATCTGTGGATATTGTTAACAGTAGGGGGTGACCTAGTAAATAAAAGTAACGTGTTGTCATCCAACAGTGTGTACTCTCAGCGGGATATCTTACTGGCCTTCCATTAGGCGATGATGGCACAATGTGGCAAGCCTTATTGCCGTATCCGCCATGCGCAACGGTGATAATGTGTCTGTCGTGCTGAATGAATTAATAGAAGGATTCAGATTTATCGACCTTTAGTATAACAGGCGGTGATACAGTTATGAAGAAGCTACATGTTCAGTCAAAGGTGACACTGACCCCCAAGCGTTAGGCAATTCTGCATGTGGCTCAGATTGAGGGAAGGTGGCTTGGACAACTTCTTAAAAGCCGTACGCCCTCCTCTTGTGTCATGTTCTGTTTCGATACTTTCGACGTTCTGTGGAATATGAGCTTCAGACGCATGACTGCTCCTTCTAGCATTTTGAAAAGATTTTTCCCTTCGGTGTACGTTGCCAATCGTCCATTTCCTTATTCGCGCTTGGAGCAAGACTGACAATGCTAGCTATCAGTTTAAGTTCCTCCACCGGCACCGTAGAGGCCGCCGCAGTGGATACCGTGGGCACCTTTATCTCAAACGGCTCGAAGAATTACGCTGAGTCAAATCCAACCGAGACCGCCACCGATACCAACACCAGCGAATCCGTTGCTATGAGTACACCGGTACTCGTTGGAGTCATTGCCACGGCTGTCATAGCTTTTGTCGCCATTGTCGCTCTCGTGATCCGCTCCAGACGCTGTAAAAACAGAGCAAAGTTGTTATCACCAAGCATCCGGGGGATGACTTCCACAACGACATCGGAAAACTCCTCAAATACTCTCGGAGCAAGCGCAGAGTCGACGATGGTTGCATCTCCACAGCCTCCGCTCTTGCAAACGTTCAAGCTGTCGTCGAGGTTGTCAGCGAAAGAACTGCCTGATGATCAAATTGCCATAGATATTCAAGACGCCTCGATGAATGGACTACCGTCCGCCCGGAGTACACAAAACTCTCAAGACACAAGCTTTGTGAGCCATCGCTCGGTGTTTTCATCTTCCTTCCTGATGCTCGCTAATTTACGATCTTCGTTACCGACAGTCTTCAGATCATCGCGCGTGAGTCGATCCAGTGAAACGAACAGTAGCTCCATGGATACTGCAGCGTCGATGACATCCTATGCACAAACCGTAACTCCTTCCGAATTGAGTAGTGCTGGCCCTATTCCATTTGATCAAAAGCAAGACGAGTGGAGAGACCTCTCGGAGACGTGCTGGTCGATTGATCCGGGAAGCGACGGTGAGACGGAAAGCGAGCGATTCATGATGCCTACTGCATCACGTCCGGATGTGTATACAGAAGTTCGGGTGCTCAATTGTGGTCGGTTGTCTACGCTTTCAGACAGAACCGTGGAGTTTGAAAACGAGACTGCGGAGAAGAGCAAGGACGTTGACTCCTTCGACGATTCTTCCCGTCGACGAGACCTCATCATGAGTGCTCTGGACGACTTGTCTCCTCGTAGAGAGAGAGGTATCAGCCAGTTCGATGACTCGTCCCCTCGACGGATACGTGGGCCCTGTACCCCTGATAGCCGACAGAAGGCCAACTCAGTCGCTGAGACTGACACAAACAAGTTCAATTGGTCGTACTTCTCAGCTGACTCCAACAACATATATTACGATGAAACGAATCAGGACAGTAGCTCGATCTTCTTTTATGATAGTGACAGCGATTGCTCTAGCCGCAATAGCAGTGATAGTGATGAAAGCTTGCTGGAGGAAGAATTCTAGCAAATTTAATGTGACAACCAACTACTTGTTACTCTATGAGCGCTTGGACGCTAATAGTTCGTTGCTGTCAACACCTAGCTTATTTCTTTGGATATGAAGAGGCAACCAGCTCCCGGAATGAAGTAGGGATTGTAAAGGAATTGCTTAAGGCATCCAAAGAGCTACCACGAGCTCTTCGACCAGTTTTTCGCCAAAGATTAGATACCCTCACGCGTTTTGAAATTTGATTTTGTGCATTAGCCAATATTTTATTCAAAAAAAGCAAAATTTGCCTTTTTATTACAAGATCTCGAAGATCTCGTAAAACCTGTTCTAAATAAACCTTGTAAAACCTGATATCCTGTCGTACATGATACAATTCGAGTCCACTGACTTCGCTCCCAGAGATTACTTTGAGGTAAACATGGTATTGCCCAAATGCCAAGTCGATACGAGATTTTGCAAAAGTAGTTGTGTGTAAGCTTACGAACTATGACTATGAGGTTAGAGAAAAGAAGTTTGATATTGACGTCTCCATCAAGGCTTCTTCAATCTCTGTTTGAAGCTGTTCACGATGCCGTGATCGCAGATGTCAGATTTGACTCCATACCAAAATTTATCGGATCCTCGGACCCATCGGACCTGTACCTCAAAGCTGGTACAAAATGCAAAAACAAACACCGTACGAACACTTTTGAATGTACATTTTACTGACAGCTGCGGTACTGCATGGGGGTAGGGGAGACACCCCGAGATGGGGATCGGCTGCAGTGAGAATTTCAACCATGTTTATAGGCGCAAGGAAATGGCCTGAAACCGCCTGTGGGCTGAGAAAAGCTAAAAAAACAAAAACATGCATTTTGCGACCCAGGAGCCATGTGCTCTTAGCCAGGTAAATTCAACAATGAGCCCCCGATTTTCGTGGCGGGGTCCACTATTAAGAGCACCAGCGACAGCCAGTTACAGATGTACGCACTTATTGGTCGATTTTTCACCAATCCTATCCTGCCACCTCAGTATGTTTAGACTCGCACCTAACCTGTGGCTCACAGCCTAGAAGAGCTCAAAACACACAAAACGGGTCCCGACAATGAGGCCTCTACGCTCAGTCTTAATTTTTTTCGCCCAACTACGCAGACCTCCAACTCGACCGCTCAAGCCCCACAGCTCATGCTCTCGCTCCTCAGCCCCCCCCCTCCTCCACAGCCCCCCCCCCGCACCTCATCTCACCTCACCCAAACTCACCCCCTCACCCAACGACGACGTAGCTCAGTGGAAGAGCACAGGGCTCTGCCTTGAGGACGCTGGTTCAAATCCAGCCGTCGCCATCTTTTTGATTGTGAGGTGGAGGCTCGTCAGGGGCTAGTGGCTAAAGGCGTGGTGTAACCTGCTTCGATATCTGAACTTAGTAAGATGTGGTTACGCTGTGTGCGTTATGCGAAACGTGTATGATGAATTCGCTAGCTAAGTGTTCCTGTTGCTAATCCTTAACTTCTAAAACGTCTTGGGTGTAGCCAGGAGCGGGATCGCGAATGGCTGCAGACTGGAGGAGGTTTTGGTGGCGCTTGATTCTGTCGTTTAGGTCTCCCTTGCTGTGAAGAGCCTGCAAGTGCTTAAGGACGGCGCTCGACCCACGCGAGCTGATCTTCTTCTCGCCACTTAGGAAGGTAAGTACGGCTTCCTCTGCTTTCTTGCCCACCTCAAGAACACAGTCACGATAGTCGTCAGCATCTTGGTCAAGAACAAAGCCGTCTTCAAGAAAAATCATCATGAAGGCTACCAGCAACTTCGCTCTTGATCGCTTTTGTTTTGGCGCCAGAGCGTACCAGCGTGGATCTTGAGCGTACCACGCAAACCAGGTAGCATGAAGGTGAGTTGGAGATCCCCGGCGCTGCTTCTTGTTTAGCGTGCTAACGTCATCTGTGCCTTCCTCTGGACAGCTTCGTTTTCTTGGTGTAGGCTCGCTGTTTTGCTTAGCTTCGAGTGCATCTATGCGAGCGTCCTGTCGCTTGATGTGCTCCATAAAGTGCTTAATCACAGCCGCTTGGTGGTCGATGGTCTTCTGTTTCTCGCTTGATTCTCTTGGCTGTTCGTCGTCGTTGTGGATTGCTGCATTACCTGTCTTGGTGTCTTCGCAGGTAGCGGATGGGGTTGCCAGGTGCGAGGACCAAGCGAGCAGCTCGGCTGGTGAGCATCCAGCGTAATCAACAGCCGCTTCGATGCGCGTCACAGCTGGACTTGTGGGGTTCAGGTCTTTGAGTAGCGGGAAGTGACGGAAGACGCGTGCGGTGAGGACATCCATCACCTTCTTGTTGATGTTTAGGCTGTCGGTCTTGAGATCGAAGCAGGTAGCAAACAGGACACGCTGCACCCGATCCATCGCTTGACGCGTCTGCGTGTCAAAGCTAGTCAAGTCTTGCAGCGGCACCGCGGTTCTGGGTTTGTATCCGCTGAGTACTTTCGCTATCTTGTGGTCTTCTTCGCTTGTATTGAAAATGTAATTGAACCCTTTGTTCGTTGTGCTTAGATTCCAGGAGCCTCTGTCAAAGATCCAGCGTGCAGTCATCTCGTCGCAGCCGTTTGCGTGCTGAGCGCCTCCTCTTCGAAACGAGTGGGATGTCAAGGCGACATCCACACCAGCAGCAGACGCTACACGGTCTAGCACCCGGTTAACGTGCGCGTATACTGTAGGGGCTGTGGCAACGCGCGGCGGAGCTGCTGGAGCGGCAAGACCAGTTGTGACTTGCGGAGCGTTGAGCAGCTCGATCAGCGGGACGTCGGGAGAAAGCGTGGAGCCTGCGAAGCCTGCTTGTTCTGGGAGGTTGCTGACGAGGGCTGGTCCTGGGGCGGCTTGGAGGATCAAGGCGAGCGCAATGGAGAGCAAGGGGCACGTAGCCAATTCCGTATCAGGAAAGAGCGACAGCCCCTGCTCCTCAGACGTCTTCACGCGAACCAAGCGCAGGAAGAAGACGTCGCCTGCGTCCACTGACATGTTGTGTTTGCGGACCATGGCTAGGTCAGACGCGCGACCGAACAAGTACCAGAGAAGACATAGTAAAGTTGCATCTTGATAGTCACTTTCTGAGCTAGCATAAGTGTACAAATACACCATCATTCTTTTCAAATCATCTTTCGTACAAGGTGGTGCTTTCGCTACGAGCCCACCACCATCTCAGCTTCAGACAGAAGCTGTCTAGTGTCTTTCCCGTTTTCAGCAACCGGGCTTCCAATGAAGCTCGGTGCTTAGGGAACTGGTCGAGCAGCCAAAGCTTTGCTTGCCGATAGTACTGCATGGCAGTGTTGCGAGCTATTGGTTTACCTTTCTTTCCTTCCTTGAATGCAAGATACATGCCAAATTTATCCATCACACACACGAACATTTTTCCGCTCTCGTCACTATCAATGCACTTCCTTATGTATTCCTGTTCAACTTCCTCTTCTTTGAGGAATTTGACGAACGCACCGATGGCTGTTGCCTTAGCCCGCAAGGTGTTACCAGGCTGTAGTTCGTCTAAGCCCATGTCACTGATTCACTGGTCCGATAAAAGCAAAATATGCAAGTGATATGTCAATGACTTAGAGTTTGGATACGCATACACATATTTTGCGGATCGATCGGACCGATCGGCTGGCGTAGAGGACTCGCCTACCCCTATTTAATTTGATTGGTTAAATAGCATTATCATCTTGAAAGCTATTGGTTAGTACCACAGCAAAATTATATCATTGGCTGTAAGATACCAATACAAAATATAAGTGAGGTCCGATAAAACTTCATATTCTACCATATCAGGAAACATTTCGTCGGTCGAGTCACCCAGCCGATCTTCTGTCGAAAGTGTTTTTTTCTCCGTGCTAGCCTCCTCTGGGCTGCAAATAATATCCTTGGGGTCACGAAGCCTCAGACGTCGCATGCACGTTATCAATCCGTCTAAAGCCATTCTACCAACTTCAATTTTAGGGCGTGAAGTGGAGCTTCAAAGCACAGTATCGGTGTAGCAAAATATGTCTTTCGTGACCTTGTATTGTTATGCATACTATTCAGCTCAGCAGCAGTCAACCCCCCCCCCTCTTGTCCACGCTGAATTTTAACCAGAGCATTTTCAAAAGCGATGTTTTTGACGATGACTGCTGTTGAGCTGATATGGTGCGTATGACTTCGTCGAAAATGGCTCGCACGTCGGCAATGGTAGCCCCCTCCTCTTGCAACACCATGCTGACAACCAATCGACAGTTCGTTGTTGCGCAAAATTCGAGTCGCTTGACTTGAGCAGCACTTGGGAGCACAACGGGGTCCTCTATTTGGAGCATGACGATACAAGCATGGACCTTAATCTTGAGGAAGCGGTCAGGCATATATAAAGCACTGCTTGAGCTAGTGACGTTTCGGCGAATTGGTTTTAGTGGGGTCAGCTTGCTTAAGTGTCCTGCGGTCTTAGCAGTCGATAGTTTGTGCATTATACTAGCAACGCGGTCCAGTTCTAGCGCATTCACCTTGAGCAAGCGCTCAACAGCTAAATAGAGACGATGCCTGGATCATCCGAGTAGGGGCACTTCGAACAGGCGAGCTGTAGCGACATTCGTGCTACAGCTGTCTCCAATGAGGCAAACCGCCCCACGGGTATCGATAGCTAAGCTCTCCAGGGTACGAAGGATGCATTCCTTAAGATAAGCAGCATTCTGATTGGTGTTGTCGAGGAGAGGCGCGAACGCCAGGAGTTGCCTTGTTGTCACTCCTATTTTGTCGTAGCGGCGGAGCACAGCCACGAAATGGTCGGAATTAGCCGACCATCCGTCGGAAAAGCGTTATTCTTTTAAAGATTTTACCCTCTATAAGAACAGTCAGCGCTCGAAGGTACGTCATTAGCGTTTTCTTAGCCAGAGATTGCAGCCTTGTGTACTTCTGAGCAAGCGCATTCTCACAAAAGTTGAGCGGCATCTCACCATCGACGATCCACTGAAGCCGCCCAAAGCCTGTCTTGGCCTAAACGCAGTGACAATAGCACACGGTCAGTGCAGCT